CTTCGCTACCCTTTTGCTCAGGATGGAAAGAAATAATGAGTGTGACTCATCCGTTCATGTTGATTTCAGAAGCTGTAAATTGCTTGGGAGGAGATTGTCCAACTTCTGTGGTGGATTCAAACTGCATTCCGTTAGCTTGGCAGCACAGCCAGCTCCTTATCACTAAGCCAGCAGAGCTGCCTGTTGAGGCAGTAGTGATGATGAGTGGCATAGAATCTAGCATATCAGATTGCTAAGTAAAAGGCTAACAGTTCAAGTCCACTAGCCATTGAAAGGAAGAATGATAGATATTCTCCTCCCAAAATGATCTACAGTGCAACTATGAATGGGCATTGGCTCAGTGGCAGTTAGTTTAATTTTGTGTTGTTTTAAATGGACAGGATATGTGAAATGCCTGGTTTGGTGCTTGGCCTGTAGTCAGCATTTGAAAGTTATTACCTAGAAATGACTTGTCTCTTGCTCTGTGAGGTTTTTATTTACCAATTTAAACATCCCTTTTTAAAGCAGTGGAGTCAGTAGATAGTGTAGTCGATAAGCATGTAAATTTTAGGTCAAAACTAAAGTATCTGGGTTCAAACTCTCCTACTCAGCTGTTTGACTAAGGACCAGTAGTAAATTTCCTTGTGCCTCTCTCTTCTCATCTGTAAAGAGAAGATCAAATGAAAATTTGCAAACTTTTCCCTCAAATAAAAAAAGTTAAAAATATTTGTAATGATGGAAATCCTATAGAATACATCTCCTTTGTACTATAGGTTGATGTGTGCCATCCAGTCGGACTCATAAGTGACCCTCCGGTGGGTTTTCAGAGGCAGTTTAATGGCATAGAAGGAGATTGTCCATCCTTTTCCTGTGGAGCAACTGGTGGATTTGAGCTACTGCTATAGGGATTCTTAACAGGGTTGTAAAACACTGGACAGTGTCAGCCGTTTAGGAAGAACACATTAATGGGTTGTTATTTTTTAACTTTTCTCTAAATGTATATACTTGTTACCAAAAGCAATGCCCAAGAATTTGTCTTGTTTCTCTACAGAAACATAAGCATGGGGGGGGGAGGGGTGGGCTGGGAGAAAAATGCAACAATGAATGAATGGATATCCTAAATCTATGTAAACATTCATTAAAATAAAAAAACTTAAAAAAGAAACATAAGCATAGAAATAATGTGTAACATTTGAATGAATGAGTTTAGTAGCCAATTTACAGACCATGTGAAAAGGAAGCATATTTGTCAGAATCAAGAGTTGGACCGTTACTGGTACATTAACAAGAATATGTAATAAAGATTCAAGAAAACTCACTTCTGGACTGCAAAAAAGAGATTTAAGGGGAAATAAATACTGTTTAACTAATTTTTAAGTGGAAAGACTTTTTATAGAGTAAAACATATTCAAAGAATTATAAAAGTTGATAAAGTGAAGTCACCCTCTATCTCAGACCTTACTAGAGTCATCGACTGTTAATACTTTTGTACTTCCTTCTACAAAAAAAAGTCTACCTGTGAACATGTAAAATCAAAACAGATTCACTGCCTCAAGTTGATTCTGGCTCACAGCAAGTGGATTTGAAACAGGAAACCTGGCCTTTCTCTTGGGAGCACAGTACCCTGTGGACTGTGGCACCAGAGCTCCATATGAACATACAGAGCCTCTCTTTTTTTTATTTTTCTTCTTTCTCTCTCTCCTGAGTAGGAATGAGATCATGTTCTTCCACATTGTGCCTTTCTCACATAGTAGATATTAAGAGTGTGTTCTGTACATTTCACCACACAGACTGCTGTCAAGTGCTTTCTGACTCTTGGGGACCCTTTGGGACAGAGGAGGGCTGTTCCATAGGATTCCCACAGCTGCAGATCTTTCCAGAAGCAAACTGCCTCATCTGTCCCCCTGGAGAAACTGGAGGGTTCAAATCACTGACCTTTCCAGTCAGCAGAAACCCCAACTCACAGTCCTCTGCACTGCCAGGGCATCCTGTTATCGATTGCATTTGCCTGATATTTCATTATGTGTTCGTGTCATCATTTATTCAGCCCATGTGTCATATTAGTGGGATTTGTGTTTTCAGGTGTTTTTTTTTCTTTTATGAATAATAATGCTATTACAGTGGACTTTTTGGTAGTCACACATATGCACAAATATTTATAAGACAAATATGTACATTTGGCAAGGTACTTTGTTGTTAGTGCTGTTGAGCTGAGTATGACTCATAGCAACCCTATGAACCACAGACCTGAACCTGACCACCTTCACTATCTCTGATACACTTGAAGCCATTGCTACAGTCACTGTGTCAGTCTATCTTGATGGGGGTCTTCCTGTTTTTCACTGACCTTCTACCCTTCCAAGCATGATTTCCTTTCCCAAGGAATACCCTCTCTTAGCAGCATGTCCAAAATATGAGTAACGAATTGTCCTCCTAGTGGCTAACACTGTAACGCCACTGTTTAATTAAGGTGAAGAGATTAAGACTGAGTATTTCCTGTTTGGTTGTGTTTTTGGATTTTTCTTTCACACTTTGGTGAAATTGTGATTTTTTTTTCACGAGTCTGAGTGAAGTTGTTCCCTGTCACATTCTTGCCTCTTTCCTCCCCCAGCTTTAGATATCTTGGTTACAGCCTGCCTGGGAAGTGTTCCCAGTGACCTAGCTTAGACATAAAGATCATGGGAATCGGAGATTTCCCATGCCTTCCATCAGTTTTGGTCCTAAGAACTAGAATGCTTCCTCCTTGTAATAGGGGGTTTTAGCCAATCATTCATTGAGGAATCTTTGCACGGTTGAGGAAGGAGAGGAAAGGCATCAGTCACATGACAGTAGGGGTATCTTAACCGTGACCCACTGCCATCATGTATCTTCTGACTCATTGTGGCCTTTTAGAACGGAATGGAACTGCCCCATAGAGCTGTAATCTTTGTAAGGCTCTGGGGGACTTGTGGGCAGAGAGTTGCACCACCAATCCAAAGGTGGTGGTTCAAATCCACCTGTTGCTCCTAGGAAGAGGTGGGCAAAAGTGATTTTCAGCCTTTGGAAACCTACTTTTCCTCCTGCCATACACCTATCTGGTGGGTTTGAAAGGCCAGCCTTTGGGTTAACAGCAGAACTGTTAACCCTACGATTCTTTTATACCTTAAGGCAGTTCTCGCTGTCCAGAGCAGTCCCCTGGCTCCCTCAGACTGTGAAGAAGACCTCCATGTTAGCGTACTTCTCCGTGCTTATGATGTTCTGTGAAAAACACCTACTCATAACTTATTTGACTTCAGCCATGCTATCCTTGAATTCTCTTTATACTTGTAGTTTATATTTTGTAATTTAAATATTGTATACTATCTTTTAAAATTGTGATTTTTAATGAATGTTTACAGAATAGTTGGATTTTCATTCACTCATTGTTGCACATTTTTCCCCTCTTCTTCTCTTCCCTCTCCCCCCAGTTCTTTTTTTAAATAGTCAGTCATTGTTGCACAATTACTGCCCTTCCTCCTCTTCCCCCAGTCATCGTTGCAATGTACCTCTTATTCTAGGCAATGATCCCACTTTAAAATGTAAAATAATAGTTGTAAATATAGGGAGAATAAAAATTCTGGAATAGTCTTTTATTATGGTTTTCTTTATAAAAGTTTACACTTTGAATTTTTAAATATGAGCATTCATCCTTTAATAAGAGCTTAACAAAGTTATTAATTTAATAAATGTGTGTGCAGTTGGTGGCTGATAGCTGGTTCCCTTCCAGGATACAGGAAGATATTACCGTTCCCTGGGTTAAGACAAATGGATTTCTTAGGCAAATAATTTGCCCGTGAAGATGACCTTTGAGGCTGCTGGGTTTTGTTGGGTTTATTGTTTGTTTTGTGGGTTTTTTTGGTTGTTTTGGGGTGGTTTTTTTTTCAGACTACTTCCAGTGATTTAATTAATAACCTCATAGAGTCGGAGCGGAGCTGACTTGTAAACCAAAATAGATTTCTACAGGCCCAGGAAGAAACCACTGTACCAAGGAATAAGGATGGGCCCTAATCTTTCACTTGTTCCTTTTACTGTTCTGCATGTTGTGCTTTTCATGTGCATTTCATTCTCTTAATGCTTAGGAGCAGTGTCTTTATGAACACTTTTTTTAAATTTTATTTTTATTATTTGTGTGTGTGTGTGTGTACCGTCAAATCAGATCTGACTGGTACAGGAGGAGATTGTCCCTCCTTCCCTGGCAGAGCATCTGGTGGATTCGAACCGTGAGCCTCTGGGATTGGAATGCAGGTTTTTGCCACTAGGCCACCAGAACTCCCCTAGTCTTTATGAACATTTTTTATATAGAAAGGCATCTACTTAAAAGAAATACTCCACTCAGACTGTGGTTAAGGTACTGTTGTTTGAAGTACATTGATGAGTTGAGGAATCCACAAGTGAATAGGCTGATCTGTATCTTTAAAAACTTGAGAGTCTCCTGAGTGAGCAATGGACATATGGACATAGGTGACTAACCTACAAAACCAGGTGGCAGAATTTACAGTGAGATATAAACAAAGCACGGTGGCTTCAGCGAGGCAGCACTTAAGTTGAGTGGATAATAAGGCTTTGATTGGTAGATACAAAAGTTAATGCTGTGTTTCAGAAATTGGATATTCAGGGCACAGAGTTTTAATTAGGAGAAAGGCTAGAAATGAAATGGATTGGAGAAAATAAAAATAATGTAAAATAGCTAGCATAGCTTGTGGCCAACTGTAGCTGCTCATTAACTTGGCCCTTTTCTTATTCTAAATTTATTGTTTTAATTTATCTTAAGAGCCTTTAAGTGGCCTTCACCTCAAAAATTAATTTTTATTTTAATTCGAGGTATCTAGGTGATTTTCAAAATTGCAGATGTGGTAGTAAAATAAAAATAATGGCTAAGTAATCAGTTCCTTAGATGAAGGTGCACCAAGTTGCTGAACTGTTTCTTTCCCCAGAAGGTGACCTGTTGAAAAAAGTGTCAGGAGTACTGGAGGAACTTGCTCATCTGTGCCACGCAGGGGACGATGTCACAAATTACAACATCTTATACCTATGATGCACCCACGGACTACATCAATTTCACATCTTTGAATGATGAAGAAGATGATAGCAGAAATGTGGATTCCTGGTTTGGTAAGTATCTGCTTTCTCTTTTTCTTTGTAAAGGTTAAGTGGTTTCCTTTGTCCTGAGGACATTTCAAAAAATTGAAATGTCTATCCTAGTGCTTTTCCTTCCTTCCCCTTCTATCTCCCTTTGCCTTTTCCTGTTTTAGACATGTATACATATATTGCTCAGTCATTCTCCAGTTTTCTCAATAGTGGCATTATGCAGGATTTGTCCTTACATGATTATTTCACTCCGCATAATACTCTTTAGTCTCTGCCATGTTATATAATATTTTGCACAATGTTATTCCTTAGTGCTGCATACTATATAATTGTGTGGGTGTACCACCATTTCTCAGTCCATTCATTTGTGAGAAGTTAGTTGGCAGAGGAATGTGTGAAAGAAGAGGATAGATTCTGTAAGGACTTGAAGGGGAGCTGATATGCATAGAGCGAGTAATTGATTTTATAAAATACATTGTATATGAATGACTGTAAGCAAACTAACTTAAAAAATTTAAAAAAAAAGACGCAGCTTTAAGAAAATATCAACTCCTTTCTGCAATGTATACATTATTGAACCCATCTTTCTCAGTCTCTCCCCAACTCCAAGCTCAGTCCTGTTTTACAAAAGTGGCACCATGCAGTATTTGTCCTTTAGTGACTGGGATACTTCACTCAGCATAAAAGTCCTCTAGAGTCACCCATTTTGAATAGTATTGCATGAGTTCCTTGTTTTTCAGTGCAGCATAGTATTCCATTGTGTGACTATACCACAGCTTCTCTATCCATTCATTTGTTGATGGGCACTTAGGTTGTTTCCAACTTCTTGCTATTGTGAACAAAGCCTTAATAAACATGGGTGTGTGTATATATCTGCTTGGATGTCTGCTCTGGTCTCTTTGGGGTATATTCACAGTAGTGGAATTTCTGGGTGAAAAAGAGAAATACTGTAACAACACTATTTAAATACAGTTTGGGAGAAAAGAAAAAAAAAATTTCCAGATTACCTTAGTGGTAACAGTACTTTGTAATGGTCCACTTCCAGGGAGTTCCTGTGAACCACTGGTTAAAACACTCAGCTGCTAACTTGGTGATTGGTCTGTCAAACCCACCAGCTTCTCTCTCCAGGAGAAAGATGCAGCGCTCTACTGCCATAAAGGTTTACTACCTTGTAAACCTATGGAACCCCTGACTCTTGTCTTCTAGGTTGCTGTAAATTAGAGTTAACATTTAGTAACAATAGGTTCATTGTCTTTCAAATAATCACCTCTTTTTACGTAGTGACATTTAAGTACACAGAGTACACAGGGTAGTCACTGCTGGGCTTTCCTGCATGCCTGAACTTCCATCTGTTAGTAGAGCAAATCTTTCACTGGTTGGCGCTAACTTAAGATACAGAAAAACCCAACATAAAATTCCTTGAGAGATGGAAACAACTTGATGGAGTCTGCCTGCCACTACCTTCTTTTTTTTTAATGTTGGGGTGTTTTTCTTTTTTTCTTTTGTTTTTTGGGGTTTACTAATTTTTATTAACGTGTGTGTGTGTGTGTGTGTGTGTGTGTGTGTGTGTACCATCAAATCTCATCTGCCAGCAGAGTATCTGGTGAATTTGAACTGCATACCTATGGGATTGAAGTGCAGCTTCTTGCCACTAGGCCACCTGCTACTAACTTCTGTAGACACTCGGACTTACGACACAATAAAAAGTCCTGGTTAAAATGAAAGAAAAATGTAGAATAAAACTCAGGCTCAAAATAACCTCAAGCTTATAAAAAAAGACCAGACTTACTGGATTGATACAAACTAGAAGAACCCCTATAAATATTACCCTTTTAACTGGGAACAAAAGCCACCTCCCAGAGGTTATTTTTCAGCCAAATAATAAATTGGCCTATAGTATGCTTCTTTAAATCATCAGTTGTACAGGGCCACCTCACATGTTTGTCAGAGTTGGACAGTGAATAAGAAAAACCAGAGAAGATGTTTATGGATTGTGATGTTGGTGAAAATATTGAATATACTATTAACTGCCAAAAGAACAAACACATCTGCTTTGGAAGAAGTGTAGCTTGAATGTCCCTTGAACAGTGAGAACAGTAAGACTTTGCCATACTTACTGTGGCGTGATATTAGGAGGGACCAATCCCTGGAGTAAAACGTCATTCTTGGTAAAGTAAAGCATAAAAAGAGGAAGACCCTTAATGAGGTGGACTGACACGGTGATTGTAGGATTGTCGCACTGGGTTCAAGATCACTGTCTATTTCTTATGTTATGCATAGGGTCAGTGCTAGTCAGAGCGAGCAACAGTAACATCTAAGACCAAGCTGTTAGCATTTACACAGAAGTGAAGATGAGATGTCAAGGAGGGCTAGGGAATCAGATGAACAGAAATGGGGCAGGAGGGTGGAAATTGTGGGTATGATGACATGTTACAGGACTGAAACCAATGCACACAACAGTTGCGTGTGAATTGTTAAATGGAAATCTAATTTGATGCATGAACTTTGACTCAAAACATAATAAAATACTCTTCCCCTCAAAAAAATATTAATAGGAAGAGGAAAAAAATTCCTTGAGAACCTCTACATTTTTACACACCCTTACTCTCTTCTCACCACTGCAGTGGAGGGAGTCATCTCTGTATAGATGATACTGGCTACAGTTTGTTGGAGAGGAACATAGTGTTATTTCGGTGGTAGATAAGGCCAGGCCACTTCATGCTTGAATGTATCCAGCACAGATAAGAGACTACTCACAGTGGAAAACCTGCATTTTTGCTTTTCTGTAACACACTGTTTGGTGTTGCCAGTTTTGTTGGGATCATTTTCAGCCTGTATTTCTGATGTATGACATGCTCAGTTCCTTTCCGTCACATTTCAAGTGTATTTTACAGCTTTATTTGCTTCTTTGCTGATTGTACAATGATAATTGTTACCTTTTCACAGAAGAGCGGGCCAATATGGAGAATACGTTTTTGGGGACAAATGGAGCAGGAGGACTTTTTCAGAGTAAAACGCCTCTGAGAAAGAGTACTCAACAGCAAGCTGTTGTCACACCTCTGAGACCAGGTGAGTGAGAGCATCTTAAATTCCTTGGCAGAATGGGGGCTTGTGTTTTAGGAGCTTTTTAAGGTCCTGGAGAAACTTTCTAAATGTTTTTCTTGCTTTTCTATGGGTGGAATGAGCGAGTTAGTTTTTATTTTGAAGGGCCAATGCTTTTTTTCCTATTTAATTGTTTTAAGTTTGAGTTAACATTGAGTTTTTATACCAGTACTTAAGTGTTATCTTTTTCTGGCAAAATTAAATGTAAAAAAACCCAGCAAGAGAGATGAGTTTATTCCTTATTGTTGTATAAGGATTATATCAGATTTCAAAAGATGACCAATGGAATATTGTTACTAAATCTACAGAATAATGGCTGTCAAATCAGAACTTAAGATAATTATTCTTTAAGAATAAACTATAACTATAAACTTTGTAAATGCTTTTGAAAAGGATTGTTTTAAAAAAACCAGCTGAAGTGCCAAAAAAGCCACTTTCTTGGGATGTAATCTCTCTACCTATTTACACTGTACATTTTGGTCTTTTTTTAGTATATTTACAGAGCTAAGCAGCTCTCAACTATAGTCTATTTTAGAACATTTGAACATAATTATGTTGTTGTTGTTGTTGATTGCCTTCAAGTCAAGCCCAACTCGTAGTGACCCTATGAACAAAAGGCCTGAAACCCCTCTACAACTATTGACATTTATCAAAGTTCAGGGAGTTTCCAGAGGCAGGTTGTTGAGGAAGTGAATGCCACTCCTGCTTCCAATTATTATTATTATTATTATTATTATTATTATTATTATTATTATTATTATTATTATTATTAAAATTATCTTATGGGTCAGCCTGAAACTGGCCTTCAGTCACACTGCTCGCTGGAGAGAGCCCACATCAGAGCAATGTCTATTTTCAGCAAGCTTGCCTAGTTTACTGAGTCTGAGCTGCTTGATTGACTTTCATATATTTAATTTGCTATCTGTGGCTTGAGTGCTATATCTTCAGATAAATTTCATGTCATTAGATGAGTGTATTTGCTGTCTTTGTGTCCTCTTTGAAATAAAACATATAATGTTACCATGGTTGTCTAGACTGTTTTCTATCCAGTATTGCATTACCTAAATCTAACAGAATGATGAGCCCCAGAATTTGTTCTGTTTTGGGTTTTTTTCCCTTATAATCTCTGTACTCTTTTTTATTGCACATCCTCACCTCTGTTATGCTGTTTTATCTGACTGAAAAATCTCTACTCATTGATGAAGATCTTGCTCAAACAGTTTATTTTTTTCTGTAATTGATTGTCATTATGCTCAAAGCACTAGTCATATGTCCATTTAAATTTCAGTTTCCCATTGTTGCTAATATATAGGAATCCAATTTTTATGTATTGTCTGTGTCTTGCAACTTTGTAAACTTGTTTCTTTAATAGCTTTTTGGATACATTCCATCAGACTTTACTTCTGTAGATAGGGACCCTGTGAGCAACAGATCTGAACCATGTCCTTCCCTGCACCAGCACCATCCTCGCAATCTCTGCTGTGAGCAAGCCCATTGTTACAGTCACTGTTTCAATCCATCTTATTGAGGTTTTTTTACTCTTTCACAGACCCTCTCTACTTTTCCAAGCTTGATGTCTTTATTAGGCACTGACCCCTCCTAACAACATGCCTAAATTATTATGTGAGACAAAAATTTAACTATCCTTGCCTCCAACGAGCACTCTGGCTGTACTTCCTCCAAAATAGGTTTGCTTGCTCTTTATACAGTCCATGGCAGGCTCAGTATTGGTCACTAGGACCACAATTCAAAGGTATCGGTTTTCTTCAGTGTTTCTTTTTCAATGTCCAACTTTCACATGTTTGTGAAGCAGTTGAAACTGCCATGGCTTGGATCAAGTACACCATTGAATTCTTCCTCATTGTTTCTCTGCCATGTGTTGATTTCTATCCTGTTCCTCATTCTATTCTTTGGTTTACTTACTTTGGGTTTAACATACTTTTTTTAAAAAATGTTTCATAAAGTGGCAGATGAAGCATGCGATTAGATCTTGCTTTTTAAAAATATGTGTCCAGTGCTGTATATTTCCCCTAGCTTAAGTTTTTAGCATTATCCCATAGTAGTTAATGTTGTATTGTCATTTAAATTTTATCCACTCCAAATACTTTTTTCTTTTTTTTAAATTTTATTATTTTTGTGTGAGTGTACCGTCAAATCAGATCTGACTGGTATAGGAGGAGATTGTCCCTCCTTTCCCGGCAGAGCATCTGGTGGATTCAAACCGTGTGCCTCTAAGTCTAAATACTTTTTATCTTTCCATTTGATATCTTCTTTGATCCACAGTTGTTTAGATAGTTGTTGATTCCAGCTCATGATGATCTTTTTTTTTTTTCATGATGATCTTGTGTACAACAGAATAAAACACTTCTTGAGCTTACATATTCCCATGATTATCAGTGGGTTCTTGTTCATTCTTATACTAGCTCATCTCACTAAAAGTCTACCTCACTTGCCTCCTTTTTCATCAAGCATATGTTCTATCATAATCGTGCTCTGAAACCAGCTTTAGTTTTTTTTTTTTAAATATTTTTTATTTTAATAAAAGTTTACAGAGACTTTAGATTTCCATTCATTCATTGTTGCACGTTTTCCCTCCCTGTCCACCCCTCCCCCTAGTTTGCTTTTCTCTTTGAAAATGAAAAACAAACCCAAAACTTTCATTGTTATACGATAATCCCCCTGCCCTGAGTCCACTCCACTATGCAGCTTTCATTCTGGACTCTTGTCATGACAATAATACCTAATCATATATTCCTCCTAAACAGTTCTCTCCCTCATCTGTTTCAATGCAGTATACATTATTTGTCCCCTCTTAGTTTTCCCCCAACTCCGATGTTAGACCTGTTTTACAACAGTAAAGCAGTTTTTGTCCTTTTGTTACTGAGATGTTTCACTCAGTATAATGTCCTGCAGGGTCACCTTTTTTTAAAAAAAAATTATTATTTTTTTGTGTGTGTACTATAAAATCATTTCTGACTGGTACAGGAAGAGATTGCCCCTCCTTCTCCAGCAGAGCATCTGGTGGATTCAAACTGGGATTTCAGTGCAGCTTCTCGCCACTAGGCCATCAGAGCTCCCTCACAGTCACCCTTTTTTGTATAATATTGCATGAGTTCCTTGTTTTTCAATGCTGCATAGTTTTCCATTTTGTGAATATACCACAGCTTCTCTATCCATTTGTTTGTTGATGGGCACTTGGGTTGTTTCCAACTCCTTGCTATTGTGAACAAAGCCACAATAAACATGGGTGTGCATAATATATCTGCTTGGGTGGTGGTTATGGTTTCTTTAGGATATATTCCCATTTGTGGAATTGCTGGGCCAAATGGTATTTGCATCTCTCTGAGAAAGTGTCATACAGCCTTCCATAATTTCACAGACTATGTATGTATTTCACAGCCACCAACAGTGAATGAGGATTCCTGTTTCTCCACAATCTTGCCAGCTTTTGTTGTTTGCTGTTCTGTTAAATTTTGCTATTCTTACTGGGGTGAGATGATATCTCATAGTTGTTTTTATTTGCATCTCTTAGAGCTAGGGATTTTGAACATTTCTTCATGTATTTGTTTGCCATCTGAATGTTGTCTTCGGTGAAGTGTCTGTTCATATCCTGTGCTCATTTTGCAGTTGGGTTGTTTTCCTTTATCTTGTTGTAGTACACCTGCTTTACTTTTAAAAAATAGTGTTAGCGTACTCTTATCTTTTCCCCCCTTTTAACCTAGTTATATCTTTATATTTCAAGTGATTTTTTTGGTAGGCAGCATATGGTTGGGTCTTTTTTTGTACAGTATAACACTCTTTGTTTATTTTGCTTTTTAATTGGGACAAATACCTCCAATATAGCCTTGATTCAGTGTACTAGTGTTCTTTTTTCCCCTATACCTTATTTTCTCCTTTAATAAACGTTTCCCCTTTTTTTTTAAAAAAAAAAGGAAAATTAAATGAAGGTTTAGAAATCGTTATCTTGCATTCATAGGATTTTGTTTTGTAAAGCTAATTACTAATAAGTAATATGTTTAATTATTACACAGTCTTATGTTAGAAAGCTCTAGTGGCTTAATAGTAGGAAGTTAAGCTGCTAACCCAAGGGCTCATGGTTCTAATCTACCAGCTACTCCACTGGAGAAAGATGAGCAATCCCGTCTCATGATTTCCTACCTGCTCAATGGTACACACCAACAGCAACAACAACATTGTTTTAGGAGGTTAGCAAATGATTGCTGTTTGGTAAGAATAACACAAGAAGTGTTTTATTGGCCTGCTGTCATGGTTGCAGTTTTCCTCCTTGGTGAAGACTCAGTTAGTTCATATGCTGTGTCACCTAATGACGGTTTTGTCCATGAAGGCTTGATCTGATTACCCCTTTCTCATTGTACTTTACTTCCATTAAAGTTTATGTAAAAGAAAAATGACCATCACAATACTAAAAAAAAGTTCTTTTAAGAACATTCTTTAGGGAGCTCAGATGCTCTGCTGGAGAAGGAGGGACAATCTCCTGTACCAGTCAGATCCGATTTGATAGTACACACACAAAAAAATTAATAAAATAAAATTTAAAAAAGTTTAAAAAAAAAGAACATTCTTTAAAGTTCATTAAAAAAAGGAAAGCTTATCAGTTACTTACATTTTCCCTGTCAGTTTTGCTTTCTTTGTTGTTGTTATATGCCATTAATTTGCCTGCAGCTCGTAGTGACCCTATGTACCTTAGCTCTGAAACCTGCCATATCCTGATCCAATCTCATCCTTTCCAATAGACCTAATCCCATTTCTCTAATCGTTCTGGACCTTCCTCTCCTGCACTGTCCCTCCACCCTCCCAAGCATGATGTCCCTCTCCAGTGAGTGGTCCCTCCTTTCTTTCCATTTATTTAGTGTCCTGTGGATATTGTCGTTGCCCCCCCCACATTCAGGTCACTCTTTGTCTTCATATCTTCTTGAGGAAGGGTTAGTGGTTTGTCTGCCAAATGATTTATTCATTTTCTGTAAGCTGTTGATTTTATAGGCAAATTGTTCTACTAGCCTCTAATTTTTTAATTGTTACAGATTCTATAATAATGTGAGTTTTTATTCTGGTATTTGTAACTTCTGTCTTCTCTTTCTTACAGTCTGCCTAGGGATTTATGATGGTATCCATCATTCCAAAGAACCAGTGTTGTTGTTTCTAGCCCTAAGTCACTTTTCCTGGAGACTTCCTTTTGAGTTTTTCATTCTTCAACTTCTCTCGAGGGTGATTTTTTTCCTCTTGGCTTACCATATAAATAGCATTCTCAGAGGTTTTTGGTTTTTTTTACTGTTTGTTGTCTTTTCTGGTCTTTTGTTATCCTTGTTGATATACTTGTTTATTTTGCAAGAATATATTCTTAAGGGACTTCCTAAGATTAGACTCAGGAGAAGATTTTGCGTCCTTGTATGTTTCAAAGGTGTTATTGTTTCACCTTCGTGTATAATTTGATAGTTTGAGCTCTTGTAGGATAGTATATGAAAAATATTCTTTCTTTGGTCTTCTGAAGGCATTTACTCCTTTCTATGTTATCATTTGTTGCTGTTCTGGACTTGAGTGCTTTTCTGATTTTCTTTATGTCTTAGGAAATGTCATTTTCTGTTTGAAAGCTTTCAGAATTTAGTCTTTATTGGTGTTCTGAAATGAAATGGAGATCATTTTGGAGTCTTTCTTCTATGGTTTGTGGAATAGTTTTGTCTGATGAGGTGTCTTAAGCTGGGTAATTAGGCAGGGCTCTGGATACGTCATTTCTGCCTCAATCAAATAATGGGGTTTCTGCATAAGATTTCACTGGAACTAAAGGCTCCATTATTATTTTTTTTAAAGCCAAAGAAGCTTTATTAACACGTTGCCGCAAATGATGGCAAAATGTATTTCTAAGCACGTCAATTTAAACGTGTGTGGCAACATGTTAAGGGAGCTCCTGGGCAGAATTCCTTGGTCTGGAGAGAGAGAGAGACACCAGGGGAAAAGCACGCTCTAAGGTGAATTAGGCAGGTTTTTATAGTAAGTATCTTTAGGGAGGGAAAGGAGGGGTATTCCATTGTGGTTTTCACAGGTGATTCCCTCCCTTTGTTGACATTTTGATATTCTTTGAATCCTTCATTCTCCTCCTTTGACCTTGGTCTGGGCTTGACATCCTAGCCACTTTAGTGAGAAAAAGGGCCATATAACTTTATTCTAGCTGAACAGGGGTGGAGATCTGGGGCTCAGAGGCTGGATTGGGTTGGCCCAGGACTAGTAGCTAGGGGAGAATATGGATGTCATAGCAGCTGGTTCAAGTTGGTCATTTCTTTTATCCTGTGAAGTAAGAATTTAAAAAGGCAGGGTATGATTAGTAACAATATGAAGAGCTACTTAGGCTTTGGGATCTGAGTGAGGTAAAGAGTAGTAAGGCCCGCCATTTGAGAGATGTAGGAGGTCTTCTCAGCGAGAGGAGCATGTTTGACCTTAACCTCTGTGGGGCTAGTTAGAATGACTGTGTAATGTCTGACTTAGTGTGGTTGAAGAGGTTTGAGTGCACATCATTTGATGAGGATGGTGTCTCCTGGGGCGACTTAAGTTGTTTGGTCTAGACCTTCAAGCAAGGGTCTAGATATGCAGTGGGTCTGTGTGTTCCTGGAGTAATTGCTATTTGATGTCTTGACACCATGCGAGCTGGTAGGTTCAAGAGAGAGGGTGGAGGGGTACCACACTCGCTCCAAAAGAGAGCAGGGTTGCAACATGCCTCGACTTCTCTCCTGGGTTTTGTGTTAGGTCTTCGCACTGGGTGTAAGGCAAAGACTCAAAGAAGGAACCAGAGAAAGAAAGAAAGCTAAAGAAACTTTATTAAGAGAGTTCTCTAGGCGAGACTCTTTGGTCTGGAGACAGAAGCAGACCAGTATATAAAATATATGAGGGGCTAGAAAAAGAGCGCTGGTGGTATAGTGCTTAAGGACTCAGCTGTTAACCAAAAAAATCCATGGTTTGAACTCCCTAATTGCTTTGTGAAAGAAAGATGTGACTGTTGGCTTTGGTAAATAATTACAGGCTTGGAAACTCTATGGGATAGATTAATCTGTTTTATAGATTTCCTATAAGTTGTAGTCAAGTGTAAAGTTTGGCAGTTAAAACTCACCTAATGGTAGCACAGAAGAAAAGGCCTATTATCTGCTTCCATTAAAGTCACAGTCAGGAAAATCTTATAGAGCAGTTGTACTCTGAAATATGGGGTACAGCAACCAACAACAGATACATAGGTGCTCTCGCGCGCGCACACACACATACTTAAGTAATTTTTAATTTAGAATTCTGTGTTAAGCCTGATCTATGCTTCTCACCCCTGGCTCATTGATTTGGGTTTTGAGTACTTTCTTTTGGTCTTCCTGCAGTTGACAACACTTATTTCAAAGAAGCTGAAAAAGAAAATGACTTGGAACAATCCATTCCACCCACCACTTGCTCTTCCCAGGAAGTAGGTAGAAGCACTTCAAAAAAGACTCCATCCTATCCTCAAAGGTAAGGCTTGTTTCAGTGCTAAAGAGTAGTGATTGTAAGCAAAAAAAACCTGTGATTGGCATGGCAACAACCCGAGTATCCATCAGTAGGTGAACTGTGGAACATATGCACATGGAATACTATGTGGCAACAAAGAATAATGAAGAATTTGTAAAACACCACAGAGTGTGGATGAATTTGGAGGACATGATGCTGCATGAAATAAGTCCATCACAGGATGACAAATATATGAATTCACTATTAAAAACTAGGAAAATTTTACATTTTAACACATTGCTGCACACTTTTAAATAGACGACCGTGCTTAGAAACACGTTTTGCCATCATTTGCGGCAACGTGTTAAGGAATTGGGTTTTTTTCTCTGCCAGAAATAGGAGGAGAGGGAGAGGGGAAGAGAAAATCAGTAAGTAAGATAGGAGACACCTATGAGATCTCATCTCACCCCAGTAAGAATAGCAAAATTTAACAGAACAGCAAACATCAAATGCTGGCGAGGTTGTGGAGAATCTGTAATCCTTATTCACTGTTGATGAGTGTGTAAAATGGTGCAACTGCTGTGGAAGGCTGTGTGGCACTTTCTCAAAAAGTTTGCAAATAGAAATACCATTTGACCCAGCAATTCCATTACTGGGAAAATACCCTAAGGAAACCATAACCACCACAATGGAATACTATGCAGCATTGAAAAACAAGGAACTAATGAAATCTTATATAAAATGGTTGACTCTGGAAGACATTATGCTGAGTGAAATAGCTCAGTCACAAAGGGACAGATATTGCATAGGGTCACTGTTGTAAAATGGGACTGATATCTGGGTTGAGGGAAGACTGAGAAGAGGGGATAAATAACATATACTGCATTGAAACAGAAGAGGGAGAGAGAACTGTTTAGAAGGAATATATGATAAGGTATTATTGTCACGACAGGAATCCAGAATGAAGGCTGCACAGTGGAGTGGACTTGGGGGGAGGGATTGTATACAATGAAAGAATTTTTCTTTTATTTTTCAAAGAGAAGAGTAAATTGGGGGGAGGGGTGGGCAGGGAGAAAAGTGCAACGATGAATGAATGGTAACCCTAAGTCTCTGTAAAGTTTCATTAAAATAAAAAAAAAAAAGATAGGAGACACATATTAAAATAGGTGAAGGCCAAGACCCTGCCCAGTGAGGACGGTCTGCTCAGTATCATTAAAGAAGAGAAGTGGGGCGAGGACAGTTCCAATGTGTACATTGTGATCAGGGTCATAAAACAAAGTTTATGAATGGTTGAATGGAAAACCAGTTTGCTTTGCAAACTTAAATCCCAGTTTTTGAAAAACCCTTCCCAAACAAACATAACAAACCAACTGAATCTTGTATTTTAGAATATATAGTGAAAACTTGGATTAGTGACAAGCTTAAGTCTTTTCTAAGGTAAATAAACTAGAGTAATTGCCTGTACTTTCATATAGGAAAAAAGTTGTAATAATTAATGAATAATTATTGGGCAGAGTACATCATATTTGCCCCCCTGCATTATACTCTGCATTTATTACCTTCTTTAATGTCCATAACAGTTTATTAGGGTTAGATAATATTCTTTATTTTTAGCAAAGAGATCAGTTGTCCTAAAAGTTACTTGCCCAAGGTAAATTTATCTCAGAACCAGAATTAAAATGTTGATCATACCAAGGACCTTGCGTGGTTCCTCCTGTTAGTAGATTAAAAAACAAACTCATAAGAGTAAATAGTGTATATCCCCAGTGGCTAATAGTGCTCTCTTGGAACAGAAGATGAGTAACTTATAACAAGAATGGAGGATTCCTCCCACCCACCAAATTGTGCAGCCCTGTGATTTCATCCCTACCCATCCTCACTCTTCTGCTCCCAACCCTTACCCCTTGGATCCCCATACATGTTTTTCACAATTAAAAAAAAAAAGAATGAAGGACGGTTTAAATCGCAATCTTGGCCCTGCTGACAGAATATCTTGGGACTCTAATGTCTTTGAATAATGCATTTTGCATCAGTACCCTCATTTTGGTGATTAAAAGACTGTGTTTGGGAGCTGTCAGTCTTGATGTTCTCTCTCACTGCCATTGACTCTGAACTTGACTTCTATGTTACCTTCCCTTAGGTTTCCCTTGGACAAGATTGCCCATCTTTCTAATGTGAAGCTGTTGGTTGGTTCAGAAAGTAGGAGAGGCATGGCCTTTGAGTTAGAAGTGCAACTCCATAAGGACTGGGCCACCAGAGTGGTCTTAAGATTGGTTGACAAATGACATTAATCAATAGACTATCTCTACTCAGCTAACTCTCACATCTATGGCTCATCTGTCTGTAATAGAATAAGGTCTCAGTTCTTGCCATTTTCAGCTCGGAAATTCAGTCTGCTCTTCATTCATTCATTCATTCACTCACTCACTCACTCACTCACTCATTCACTCACTTACTAAAACAACTTGTATTTTAGGTGAAAGGTATGTTAGCAAATTAGCTCCTGCTCAATAGTTCTTACGTAATTATTCCATGAATTGGTGCTGTCTTTCCCACTACATGTCAGCACCCTCCCCTTCCCTTTTAACCCCCATCCATCAGTTTCCCAGCCTCTCCTTGTATTCATGTCTTTGCTTTTGAGTCCATGTTCCTTTTTGCTCCCCTGTAGTTGATGTGTCCAAGGGGCACATGCCTGTTTTAAAGTCAGCCATGCAGGAGACTGGCGGGAATAGTTGTTGAATACAGAGCTATTCTTTCGGCCTGTGGCCAGTTTACAAAAGGCAGTTTGCAAAAACCCCATTAGAGGCTTCTGAGTTTCACCCAACTTGCTAGTGAAGTTCCTTTATTTTGCACATACAGTATTAGCATCTTAAAAGACCTATAGGTCCTAAGACCAAAGTCAACATAATCTTTGGTCCCCTCATTTACATCTCCATCACCCACTAGCAGATTTACCTGATTCTCAGTTTCTGCTAAGTAACACCTATTGCGTATTTCCCCTTTCCTGAGACTGAATATTCCATCTGTTTGATAAGATGTGGACATATGTTTGCTATCTATATCAAAGAGACTCTTATCTAAGAAATCAGGAAGCAGAGGGTTTGAGTACCCCTTTGAGAAGCTGGATTTAAATAGAATGTCAATATTGTAATTTATAGGACTCTCTCTGAAGGATGGAGCCATTAGGGACCATTAGGGATTTGTTCTCTGGCCAGCTGTCAGATTCTCCCACTGTTTACCTATCTTTCTTTTTACTTTTTTCTAACATGCCAGAATAAACTATCTTTGTTGACATTTTATAAGTGCAGTGGTTACTAGATTTCCCCCTACAACATGCCTCATGGGGGTTATTGTTTATTTTATAGGCCAATCTATTATTTGACTTAAAAGTGCCCTCCAGGAGTGTTTTTATTTCCAGGTTAAAAGGGCAATAATAGTCTCTGGAGTTCTTCCAGTCCAGTACTTTATATTGTGTCACTGAACAGAATGCTTGCTTCTAAGTGGTAGCTGGGCATCATCTACTTCTTCTTCAGTCTCAGATTACAGAAGTCTGTGATTCATGTGAATCATTAGTTCCTATGGAAAAATGGTTTCCTAATGTTTTTTATTTTCTCCATTCTCTTTTGCTCCAGATGGGAAGAGACCAATATTTGTGTCTTAGATGGCCACTTGCAAATTTTTTAGACCCTAGATGCCATTCACCAAACTAGGATGTAGAACATTATGAACTGTGTCATGCCAGCTGGCCTAGATATCCCTTGAGGTTGTGGTACTTAACTGTCAAGCCTAATAACTCAGTCCTCAGTGGGGTTGGATTTATCTAGGAGTTTCCGTAACTGAGCCCCACTTTTGTTATATATGAATATACAGCCGTGCACTTGCGCGCACAACTCGAGGTGCACTGGTGACCTAGTGATAAGGAGTTGTACTACCAACCCAGAGGCAAGTGGTTTGAATCTACCAGCTGCTCCACAGAAGAAAGATGAGCAGTCTTCTCCTGTGTGAAAACCCGCTAGAGGGTTAGCTATGAGTTGGTTCTGACTAGACCACACATAATAATGAACCTACATACATGTATGCGTATGAACTCGCATTTGCCATTTCACACTGGTGGCTCACATTGCCAGCTCATAGCTGACGCACTGTTGGGTTTCTGAGGCTCTCGTTCCCAGAGGAGAGAGGAGATTGCCCAAATTTCTTCCGTGGAGCTGATGGTAGATTCAGACTGCTGGAGAGACTCGGCCTTTGGGTCAGCTGTGAAGCAGAGCTCAGCATTTTCCATATTGCCCATCAATCTTGCATGCTTCTCTCTATCTTCATGTTGTGCAGACTTCTCTGCTGTGTCTTGTCTTTCCTGTCACCAGAGTTGTAAAATCTAAGTGATTCTCCCTTCCTTTCATCATTGGTAAACATGAAGGATCTTTCCTTTCTCTGTGTTAACCTATCTTAACATTTCATAAAAGTATCCTACAAATCATATTTCTGTTTCTAGCTTTTTGTGTAAGTAATACACCATGTTCCGAGGGAGATGTATGTGGTCGCAGTTCAGTCAGCCATGTATATGAATTAAAATCTCCCCAAAACATCGCCAGCATTTGTTGTTTTTGCTCCCTCTTTTATCCCCCCTCTCCAATCAGTGTCTTCTTTTCCTTCTTAGGAGTGAGATGGGACCTTGTTGTCCACTAACAAAATTCCTACATATTTTTTTTCATAAGTCCTATCTTTCTGGACTTATGTTCAGATAGAAAAATATTTACACTTAAAAGATAATAAAATTTAAAATGTGTTTCAAAATCTAAGGAAAAGGATACACAACTGGTTCTGAGCTGTAAATTTTTCAGTCTGAATAATGAGTACTTAGCAATTCATCTGTTCTCATTTTCGAATACATATTGTCATATTATTTAAAAATTAATACTCTATAAAATAGCATAAAACTTAAGTATAGAAAAATCTTTCAGTGTCTTAAGGTTTTTATACAGAGAATGTTGAGAAACAAGATCTAAATAAATGGTAAAGAACAATTCCTGTAAACGAGAGTAGCTACAAGAGGAAAAAAAAGAAACCTTAGCTAATTTCCTGGAAATGTAGACTTTCATTTCAAACTTGGCAATAGGATCTGATCACCTGTAGTGGAGTACCAAAATCTTATGATCGCATTTCAAAATCTATAAACAAGGAGGTGTTAGATATTTTTTTAAATGAAAATGACACCATTCCAATTTTTTAAATAGCCCTTTGTCGTTTGACATATTTGTACATTTCTGAGAAATAATGCACTTTCATAGATGTTTTCATACTGACAGATTTTATCAATTCCTCTATCATAGGAGATCTGTTAGACTCTCTGCGCGGAAGAATTTAGAAGAAAAACACCATGTAAAAATGAAAGCCAAAAGATGTGCTACTCCTGCAATCATGAATGAGATTCCACCTGCCAAGAAGATGAGAGTGTAAGTACCAACAGCTCCTGTCAGCTGGCATAGGGTAAGCCGGGTCTCCCTCATGTTTAATACGAGCAGAAAACTTGGTGCGTGTCCCCATATCTGTGAATCAGCCTGTCTGATTAGAAAACACCAATGATTTATTGGCTTCACAGAAGTCTAAGGGGGAGTTAGTTTACTGGCTTTGGTATAATGGCTCAACACTGTCAAGGTTAGTCTTTGACCCTCTGATTCCGCGAATGCTCAGGGATCCACATACTGTTGTTCATTTCTTCGCTTTTCCTCATGCTTTTTGTTCATGGTCATGAGGTCACTTCTTTAGGTATCACATTCAGGTTTACGGGAAGAAGGAAGAGGAGGGTAGGGAAATATTTTATCTCCTATGCACGAATTTCCACACTTAGTTCCCTAGTTGCTGTAGTGTTTTAGTTAAGTTAGTACATTACTACCCAAAACAAACAAGCAAAAAGATGGAATAGATACTGGAGAAGCACTCTGTGTTTGTTTGAGTATGAGTAATTGGAATCCCACGCCCTTTACTGGTCAGTGTTGGACGACTATTATTTTAACTTCTCTTAGCTGTCTTAAAGTTTACTCATCAAAGCGTTTTGCTGTATAGATCTAATGATGGTTTTGGAAGACTGTCGTTGTCAAACATGCATGATGTACTAAAGAATGAAAAATGATAAAGGTTTATGTGGTAGATTTAGGGGGAGGCTAGTAGTGTGAGGTGTGCTTTAGGGATTGAGGAAATTTTTTTCCCCCCTTTTGAACTCAAGTTCAAACAGCACAAAGAAGCCTGGTGAAGAAACTCCACAGAAAGTTAAGAGCAGACACACTGTCCATTGTACACCACCTATAAGGTACGTTCATTTGTTTTACTAAATTTAAACTTGAGTGAATAAACTAATAACTGAGTACATCTGAAATCTGTTTGGTGCACATGGAGCTTGGGAAACTAAGTTAATGTATCTTGGTGGCTGATCAAGCATTAAATGTTAAGAAAAATAGATTATCAAAGCAAAGTTAAGGTGAATATAAAAGGAAAACGTTGGTAAAATTGTGTATCCTCTAAATGGAGCAGTGTTCATTTTTTAAAAGCTTCTTCTAGCCCAAGCAAGACTGCTGATGAGTATTGCTAGGTCGGAATCAACTCACAGCTGGCCCTCCTGTGGGTTTCCAGAGGGAGTAAAGCACATGGGGCCAGATTGTCCATCTTCCATGAAGCAGCTGGTGGATTTGAACTATATACCTCTGGGTTGGCAGTGCATTTCCTTACTACTAAGCCACCAGATAAATGTTTTTATAATTAATGTCTCAATAACCTTTGGGTTCTGCTATATTTTACTTGCCATGACTATACTGTTAAAAGATCTTCACATTATACTTAGGAAAATGTTAATATTTTATCAAATTACCTTTAACCATCTTCTGTTAAAAATATTTCCAGTTTTTTACTATTAGAAGTCATATTTCAGTGAACATTTGTTTTAACACTAGTTTCTCTGCATACAAAAAGAAATACCTTGATCAAAGGGATATGACCAGTTTTTTATCTGTTGATCTTAATCGCCAGTGGGTTTTCAGAGGCTGTAAATTACACGGGAGCAAATGGCCCATCTTTCTCCCATGAAGCAGCTGGTATATTCGAACTGTCCACCTGTGATTTGGTAGTACAACTACCTCCATTAGGTCACTATTGATGTCTAAAATTCTAGAATATTCCTCAGGATACTAGTGTATGTGTCCAGTTCACAAAGTGCTACTGAGTTTGACTGGATGCCACCAGTCTCTATCAGATTACTAAGCCATGTCCTATTGACAATTTGAGTTTGGTTTCACATTTTTTTCCTGCTCCATCAGGGACCTTCTATTGTGATCCTTTTTAGAGTGGCCAGCAGCAGTAGCTGGGGACAGTCTAGTTCTGTCCTCAAGGTCATGGTGCAGCTTCATGGATTGTTACCTTATTTTTATTATAATGTTGCCAGTATCACCTTATTAGATTAACTTATATGTTACCATGATTGTCGTAATGCCTTTAGATTCTTCTGAATTGCTGAGCTCCTTTCTTTTTCTCTGTTACTGATGTATCTTCTAGGCAGAAGGTTCTTAAAAGTACTGAAGAGCAAGAGATGGAGAAAAGAGCAAAAATGCAACAGGAGGTGATAGAGATGCGAAGAAAGAATGAAGAATTCAAGAAATTGGCCCTCGCAGGAACAGGTTGGTTTGACTGCTTGTATCAGAACTGTGAGGACTGTTGCTTATAAAACTGAGTTATAAAAAAAGGGTTATAAAAAGTTATAAAAAGGATTTCTGACCTCTTTAACAACAACAACAAAAGGCTTCCTGAATCATTAGTTAACATTTAAAAACTGATTAGAAAGCTGGATGTGGGTTCCATTAATTTTTTTTTTGCTCCCCCCTGACCCCTCCATTAATATTTTAATGATCATTCCTTAAAACATGTTCTATACATTGGCTATTTACAGGACAAATTTCTTGTCTCCTCACTTTTTTCCCCATTATCTACAGTACTTTATTGAAGATTAGGGAGAGTAGAAAGAATCCTCTTAAAAACTGCCTCTCTGTCTGCTCACTTGATTGTAGAAGTCACATACTTAAATTGAAGTCTTCTTCCTTTTTTCTTTTTTAAAGCTTTTACTAATTTTTTTCAAGTAGCAGTACTCTCTCTTTCCTTTTTCTTCCTAATTGTTTTCTTTATATTAGAAAAGGGAGAAATTAGGGTTGAAATACATGATAACAGCAACTGGGCAGAACCATTCCCTCCCTCACGCTCATGACCCTGCTCCACCACTTTTTATTCTAATCAGTGGAAAGGAGCTGAGCTCTAAGGCATCTCTAGTTGCGCTTCAGAAGTATGGCCAAGATTGCTAAAAGAACCAGAGTTTTGCTTTGTTCTGGAATAGAATCATTGTGGGCTTAAAGATACTAAGCTCTGCTTGCCAGATCAGAGGTTGAAAAGCACCCCTTAAGATTGTATGGTTTCCCTTTTATACACACTGAGTTAGAATCAATCCATTGTTTTTTCTCTCAGAAGTATTCCTCTTCCGCTCTATGTAATGAAATGAGATTGTTCTCCTCAGTGCTGCCTCTTTACCTCTTGTGGCAGACCTCAACTCAAGGACACTAATGTATGTGAATTGGATACATACATTAGTGTCCTGAGGAATATTCTAGGTTTTAGATGTTGGTAGCGGCCTAGTGGGAAGGGAGTTGCATTACCAGCTCAAAGGCAGGCTGTTTGAATCTACCAGCTGCTCCACAGGAGAAAGATGGACAGTCTCCTCCTGTGCAATTTACAGCCTCTGAAAACCCTCTAGAGTCAGCTGTGTGCTGGTTCCAACTTGACAGCAGTGAGCAAGTGAGTGAAATAAGTTTGAACCATGGTAATAGAAATGACCGACAGGACTAGAAGGAAAGGGCCTTTGCTGGTGTCCTGGATCCTTAGTGTTACCTATGTGTTTTTCTCATTCAGGGCTACCTGTGAAGAAGTCTGTCAGCCAGGTAACCAAGTCAGTTGACTTCCACTTCTGCACAGACAAGCGAATCAAACAACAAAACAACCCAGAGTACAAGGAAGTGAACTTTGTATCAGAACTGAGAAAGCATCCTGCTTCACCGGTAAGTTGATGAACTTTCTATTTATTCAGTAGCAACTTCATGTGCGGCGTCTGTGGTCACCTTTGGTGTTGGTGTACTTGAGAGGAGCATATGCTTGTACAGATGGGTCTGAATCCTTTCCTTTATTCTGCTTGCTGTGTCCTTTTAGATGAATCAGTCTACCTCTCTGCGAGCTATCTTATGATGTTGCTGTGAAAATGGACTTGTATCTAGAGCATTTGGTGATGTGTATGACAAATGATGAGTAGAGGCTTTTTTAACTGACTTAATTATTTTAAAATACTCTATATACATTAAGTTTCATGGTACAGACATTTCTGCTGTGCAGAATTCTTAAAACTTGGTGTCTGTGTAGTTGTGTATAAAATAAAACAATAGTTATAGGGAAAACAGAATTGTAACACATCATCAGATTTCATTACCAGACCACCAGCACCTGTTACACAATAAGCCTATTAGAGCTGTGGGTGACACATGTGAAATTGTTCACTATAGACTCCTATGTACACACAAGTAAGCCTGTTCTACCTTGCTTGTTAGATAACTCTGTCCTTGTCAGGGCTTGTCAATTTTCAGAGAGACTTTATAAATTTCAAAGAGTTTGAAATTTAAAAAAAAAAATCCAAGAGGGATTATAAATTTTCAAAGTGATTCTGTAGGAGGATGTCGTAGGATTGAGAGACTGACAGAAGCTAGCCATACAACTCAGCTGTTGTATTCTACCTACAATTTAGATGAAACCTAATCCTAGACCGAGAAACTATTATCTGAACACTGTTGATTTAAAATCAGTAAGGGTGTGTGTGCATCAGTAATGTATTCTTTCTCCAAACCTATTCAATCTATATGCTGAGGAAATCATTTGAGAAGTTAGACTCTGAAGAATAATGTGGCATCAGAATTAGTCTGTGTTATTAGCCTTGCTTGCTGAATGTGAGGACTTGAAACACTTGCTGCAGAACATCTAAGTCTACAGCTTTCAGTATGGATTAGATCTCAACATCAAGAAGACAGAAATCCTCACCACTCGACCAATAAGCAACACAATGGATAGAGAAAAGATTGAAATTGTCAACAGTTTCATCTTACTTGGATTCACAAATAATGCCCTGGGTACCAGCAATCAGGAAATCAAGAGACGTAATACATTGGGCAAGTCTGCTGTCAGGAACTTCTCCAGATTGCTGAGAATCAGTGATGTCAGTTTGAGTACTGAGGTGCACCTGATTCAGGCTATGGTCTTTTCAGTAACTTACTACGCATCTGAAGTTGGACAATAACTAATGATCACAGAAAAAAAAATTGATACCTTTGAGTTACGATATGGGGAAAAAACACTGAATATACCATAACCCAGAAGCCTCAGGTTTTCAGATAAAGTTTTTGGTGGGGGATACCTCTGCAGCTTAAGATCCCTGCCCCTCTTCCTTCTTCTGTAACTCTTGATTGCTTTAAAATGTTAATAAACTTGAAAAACCTGCCCTTATGTGCTAGGTCTTTTTTTCTTTTCTCTTTTTGTAAATAGGAACAGACTGGTTATAACCCTTGCCCAAAGACTGACCTAATATTTCTTTTACATGCACCAAGAATAATAGTAATCTTTATTTTACATGCCCTTTTTTTCTGTGAGCTCTTTGCAGAATCTTTTGTGACAATATATCTGAACTCTTTAGCAATGCTTTCTTTATCTGGGAAACTACTTTCTCTTTTCACAGGCCCAAGTGAATAAGGGATGTACTATTATTAAGCCTTTCAACCTATCCCAAGGAAAGAAAAGGACTTTTGAGGAAACCTCTTCTGAATATGTGCCCCTTGCACAGCAGGTCAAAGACTTCCATAATCGGACCCCTAACAGATACCACTTGAGGAACAAGAAGGATGAAATGTGTAAGTTTCCTACCACTATTGTACTTAGCAAGCTGAAAATTCCTGAGAATTCTTTTCGCTATGTAATTTACTTTGTAGACACAAATAAGCCTAAGGTTGAAATTTTAACCAAAGTGACTGTATGCAAACTACAAGATGTACAGTTAGGCGTTTCTCAGATCTTTTAGCTACCTGTAAATGCCTACCAGTCGTCTGGGTCACCTTGGTCCGTAACTGGCAATCAGAATAACCTGAGATGTCTTTGTACATTAATGATGTCTTTGCTGTGTGTAAAAGTGTCACACAGTGCATTTGCTATTGTGACTACATCTTTATGAAAGCAAACTGTCTTCCCTTTGTCCTGTGGAGTGGCTGGTGGGTTTGGCAGACCTTCGGTTAGTAACCCAACGCTGAGCCCACTGCACCACCAGGTTTCTTTTGAGGAATGAAGCAAGCACAAAAAACTATTGAGAAAATAAGGCTAGCTATCTCAGTAAAGCAAGCCTATTTACTTTTGTTGTTTTGTTGTGTACCTTCGAGAATGCCGACCCTTCTGTGGGTTTTCAGAGGTAGTTAATCACCTGAAAGGAGAGGTTGCCCATCCTTCTCATGCTATTTACTTTTTAAGATCTCTAAATTTTTTTCTATTGCTTAGCATTATATTTTAGGTAGTCAGACATACTCAGTATTTTTATTTTAATCTATAAACCAAAACTGTTTTTGTCAACTTGTGTATTGTGAAAACACTGTGTTGCTTTTGTCCAGTTCAAAATTTAAATATTAAGCATAATCTTTCAGATAATGCATGATTAGGGTAGAATCTTTGTGTTGGATGAATCAAATGCTTGACTATTAATGGAAAGGTTGGTGTTCGAACCCATGTGGGAAGCACCTTAGAAAAAAGTCCCAAGTGTCAATTTCTGAAAGGTCACAGCCTCCGAAATCCTGTGGAGTTCCGTTCTCTGCAAAACATGGAGCCACTACGAGTCAGAGGTAACTCACCAGGAGACAGTGGTGCTTCATGATTATAATCCTTTATTCCATGCTGGAGACCCAAGTTCGATTCCTGGCCTGGGTACCATAAGCACAGTGTCATGTTTATATGGAGAGTTACATGTGTATCACATCTTGTTCTGTTGTCCTGTGGTCTCTGTGAACCAGCTGTTGACTTGATGGCCCCTAACAACAAGAACCTTACTTATAGAATTTGTTCCTGGTGAATAGACAGAAAAAGAATTTTTGCAATTTTTTAAACTTTCTTTACTCACTGCTGCCAAGTCTATTTCAACTTAAAGATTTCTTCCTCTTCCATTGGATTTATGAGCCTGCAAATCTTTGTTTGTGAAGGAGGCTTTTTATCCTCTCTTCTAACCCTCTGGTCAGCAGCCTTCAGTATGCCTTCAGGTCTCTTTTGTATAGGTGTAACTTGATACTAGTTACATGTACATTTGTGAGGCAAAACTTGTTTCTAAAATAAGTAGATTTGTTTTCTATCTGCTCTAAGGAATCCTGGCTGGAATCCAGATGGGGAGTATTCTGAAGCAGCCTAACTCTACAGTGTTTTGATTTTTGGTTCTGGTGAGACATTGGGTGCAACATTTACTGGCCATTGGCTGTGAGTTGATTGTATTCAGCCTCCTATTTAAAAAGGCTTTGGTCACCAGTATGGGGCTGGAATCCAGGAGGGGGAGTATTCTGAAGCAGCGTGACTCTACAGAGGTTTGATTTCTTATTCTCTTGGTTATGGTGATGCTAAACACTGTGACACTTATGGGTCAAATGTGTTAATAGGTTACCCATGGTGGACAGTGTTTGGTGGAGCTCCCTGATTAAAACAAGCCTGGAAGCAGGAGTGGCATCCACTTCTGAAATAGCTTGCCTCCGGAAACTCCATGAACGTGGAGATATAATGAAAGTTATACAGGTGTTTAGGTCTTTGGTTCAGGGTCGCTATGGGTCATCTACAACTTGGCGGCACTTAACAACAAAGGGAATCCTAGGTATTGTAAAAGGCTAAATGTTGAATTAGTAACCAAAAGGCTGGAAGTTCATACTCACCTAGATGATCTGCGTCAAGAAGACCTGGCAGTCTATGTCTGAAAGGTCACAGCCTTGAAAACCCTATGGGCATTTCATCATGGATCTGAGAATGCATTCCATAGTAATTAACAACAGCAATCTGCTGTGTTATATAATAAAGTCTAAACTAGAGGCTCATGTGGCATAATTAGACAAGTTAATTAATGCCTGGACAGACAAATTAAGAATTTCCTAATGGCTTTAATATTGATGTTTTGACATAGTTGTTTTGCTTACTTCATTTGGCTTTTTCTGGGGGCAGTCTAAATGTTAATATTTGTAGAGAATTCATAAAATTGGGAGTAATTTACAGTATTGATTTTGGAAAAGCCCTGTTTTAAGCTCAGGTAAACAAAATCCCAATTTTTTATAACAAGCTGAATAGTTGGCATTGTCAGATAAAAGGAAATACAGCAGAGCTTTGGTGACTTAGTGGTAAAGAATTGCACCTCCAGTCCAAAGGCATGCGTTCAAATCCACCAGCTACTCTGAGGGGGGAAAGATGGGCAGTCTCCTCCCATCTGATTTACTACCTCTACAAACCAGCTATGAGTCTTTTCTGACTCAGTGGTACACAACAACAACAACAACAACCATCACAAAAAAGAAAGTACAGCACAGACCTGTGCGATGGAAAAGAATCCATCAGACAAGAAAGTCTCTCCTGGCTGTTGAGTCAGAACCGACCCACAGCTGAACCTTCAGTGAGTTTTCAGAGACTAAATTGCAGAATAGCAGATTGTCTGTCTTTCTTCCGTGTGGAGCATTCTGTGGATTCTAACTACTTGCCTTTGGGTTGACAGTGCAGATCTTACTAAGCCGCCAGAGTAGATTTCATTTCAGAAGATGAGAACAGAGTTTACCCAAAGGCTTCGTGTTCTCCCTGAAGGAACAACTGAATGTTGCTAGGTTGACATGAGCCTGAATTTAGAGGGCCAGCCTCTCTGTAAGTTCTTTATCTGTGTCTTGGGTTTTGAAGAGCTAGGTGAATGGATGTGATCTTGGTTCACAGGCCTGTTACCCTCCAAATGTACCGTGCCCAAGATCTGCCGAGACCCACAGACTCCAGTCCTACAAACCAAACAGCGCGCAAGGCCTGTGACCTACAAAAGCGCAGTCGATCAAGAGGCTGAGTTGGTTGAGGAACTTAAACAGTAAGTCCCACAGGCCATGTTTGAGGAAGAGCCCCAAACCTGCCTACTTTCTGTTGTTGGTTTTCTTTTTGTGGGTGTTTATGACTTTTTAGCTGGCAGGCTCTGGAGGCTGTGTCCCTCCCTGCCTTTAAGTGGACTTAAATCAAAGTGGGAGCCTGAAGATGTCCTGAAGTATAAATTGATAAAAAAACTGATGCAGTTATTGGGGTTGGAAAACATCAAATTTAGACTAAGAAGGCTGTTGAGGGAGGACCCTGTGAAGTTTGTGCAGATAGATCCTACAGCTTTTTAAAAAAAATTTTTAAAAATAATTTTAATGAGCATTTACAGAGATTTTGGATTTCCATTCATTCATTGCTGCACTTCTCTCCCCTTCCAGCCCTCCCACCCCCATCCCCAGTTCGCTCCTCTCCTTCAAAAGTTAAAGAAACACTCCTTTCCTGGTACACAATCCCCCTGCACCCCTCTCACCACCCCAAGTACATTTCACTATGCAACCTTAATTGTGGACTCTTGTGATAACCATAATACCCTATCATGCATCGCTTTTAAATTATTCACTCCCTCATCTGTTTCAGTGCAGTATACACAATTTATCCAGTTTTTCTCAGTCTTACCCCAATCCTGATATCAATCCCATTTTACAACAGTGGCACCATGCAATATTTGTCCTTTTGCGACTGAGATATTTCACTCAGCATAATGTCCTCCAGGCTCACCCATTTTGAATAATATTGCATGAGTTCCTTGTTTTTCAGTGCAGTGTAGTATTCCATTGTGTGAACAAAGCTGCAATAAACATGGGTGTGCATATATCTGCTTGCATGTCAGTTATGGTCTCTTTGGGATATATTCCCAGTAGTGGAATTGCTGGGTCAAATGGTATCTCTATTTGCAACTTTTTGGGAAAGCGCCATACCACCTTCCACAGTGGTTGCACCATTTTACACTCCCACCAGCAGTGCATAAGAAGGGTTCCAGTTTCTCCACAACCTCACTAGCATTTGTTGCTTGCTGTTCTGTTAAATTTTGCTATTCTGACTGGGGTGAGATGATATATCATAGTTGTTTTTTGCTTTTTTGTTTTTGTTCCCCAGTGATTATTATTCCTCTTATTAGTGGAAGAAATAAGAAATTAATAAGATCAGACCTGTAGTTTGTCTCCTGTATTCTCCATTTGTTCCTTTTTGTGCTTTTGAGAAGGCGAATATTATCAATAAAAGAAAAACTCCCCATTTTATCAAGTGGAGGAAGTATTAAGATTCTCTCATTGCTCTTTTTCTGTACACACAAAAATAATGACTGGAGAGAGGAGATTTTGTTGAGCGTGATAGATAATCAAGGCTATTTTTGACACATCAAAAATCTTTACTATTTTTTAATCGATGATTATTATTTTTCTGCCTTTGGTCCACTTTCTTATTTTCATGTTATTGACCTGTGTGTGTGTATATGTGTGTGTGATTGTCTTGTCATTCCCACCTCACAGATACAAATTCAAAGCACAAGAGCTCAATCCTAGGATTCTTGAAGATGGACCTATCCTGCCCAAGAAGCCACCAGTGAAGCCCCCCACTCAGCCGATTGGCTTTGACTTGGAAATTGAGAAGAGAATTCAGGAGCGCGAGTCAAAGAAAAAATCAGAGGAAGAGCACTTTGAATTTCATTCCCGACCTTGTCCTACGAAGATCTTGGAAGACGTTGTGGTAAGGCTCATTGAGCCCTGTGGGCTGGAGCAAGTTCCCTGCTTGTAACCATTCACTCATTCGCAAATGTGTGAGTAGATCTAAGGAGTTATATTAAAGGTGGATTTCATTTTCAGGAAACAGAATATAAACAATATAAAATGATATAGAAGTGTTTGGGGAGAGATGACAATAAAAAGTTATGAGGGAAGTGAGAGGAGAAAAAAGTTTTCTTCCAGGTAGCTGCTTCAGGAAACACATTGTAGAGGAAGCAACATGTGACTGGAGCCTTGACTGGGTGGTGGTGGTAGTAACTGTAGTCACCATTGTCTTCATTATCACCGTAATAACTGCCAGGCACATGGTCAGTTAGCCCATTAATTTTGATAGCGTCACCTTCAGATAGATTAATTAGACCAGTGTTTGGTGAAGCACTGAGGCACATAGAGGTTCAGTAAAATACTAAAGCACAGGAATGGAATCCAAGTGTAGCAGGTGGATGCTCAGAAATGCCACTTCTCTTGCCTGTGGAAACGTTGATGGTTTCATGCCATCAGTTTGTTGGTTAATGGCCAAATGATTGAGTCACTGCACCACCAGTGCCACATCCTGACTTGGGCATGCTCATATTAGGTAACCAAGTGAGTAATGGGTCAAGCTTAAATACAACAGCCTGAGAATCAAAATAGAAAAATGGCATGGCCATTGCACATGCTCTCTTTCATAGGGTTTCATCAATTGATTTTCCCTTTTGCATTATCTTCTTTATAGCAGATCTGGGTAGATGCAAAAAAGAGGGGAAGAAAAATGGGATGATTTTAGAGTTCAGTGAGCCTCAAATTCTAATTTCTTTTTGTTTTATGAAAAGTTCTGAGGCCTGGAAAGCTATCAGATTAGCCCAAGGCTGTGTAGATTGGAGGTAGGGCTGGGCTAGAACAGGGTCCCAGGCTTCTGGCTTTCTCTCCTTCCTACTTTTCACTTGTCTGGACTGGGTCAAGCAAGAGGATGCTGTCCATTTATCTTCCTAGGATGCTGCAGGACAGATTTTTGTTCTCTTGTGGTAACTCTGAAAAGCCCATTTTGTAGGGTTTTACCACTAAGTACTAAGTTTGCTATGTTGGATTTCACGATAGTAATGAAATGTTTGATGATAAGAACTTTTAAAACAGAAGGCATATTCCTTCAGTGGTCTTCTTGGGAAGACCAATGGTTGTGATAATGCACAGAACACTTTAGAAAGGATATTGTCTTTGGACACCATGACAGGCATATCTGGCCTCAATAATGGCTACTAATTTGCTTTTAGGGGATAATGTACAATTATTTGTAACTTAAACTGGTGAACAGTTCAAGGTAATGGTGCTAGAAACAGCTTTGCTTAATTAAAAGTAGAGATCAAGGGCCTGTCTTTGTTGGGTGGTTCAAAAACTGACTTTGAAAGTGACCCAAAGAAAGCTGTTCCAATGTGTTTTGGACAGTTGCAGCGTTTTGGGGATTAAGAAGTCTCTCAAGGTATCTCCTTGGCATCCAAGAAATAAAGTATGCTTCTTACACGTTCATTCATTCTTAGCATTTTGATTAAACAAACATTTACTAAATGTATTCTACTTGCCACGATGTATGTTAGGGTCTGGGGATTGATGGAGTAGAGCATGATCCCTCCCATTGAAGCACCCACAGGCCAACAGAGGAGATGGACATGTAAATGATAAGTGCAGTGAAGTTTTGTGTGCTCTGTGCTAGAACTTGGTGGAGGGGAGAGCTCCTCCCACAGTTGTTCATGGTTATAGAGTGATGTGAGAGGTAAGCCTGCAGCTTGGCAGAGTCTTGGGTTATGAAGGGCCTTCATGTCTGCTGTGCTGTGGTAGGTTGACAAGAGGAGCCATGAAGAATTTTAAGCTAGGAGGTTAAGCGGTCATGTGTTTTAGATTTGGACTGGATGTTAGTGTAATAACATGTACCGTACGTGGTATGCGTCTGTGGGACAGCAGTGAAGAGCTAGAGAGGAAGCAGGATTGAGAGCAGGCGAGGGCAAGAGTGTGGAGGTACTTGGAACCAGTAAGCAGTTACCGAGCAGGATGGGGGGCTGGTTTTGACTTTGGTTTCTTAAAAATCATACTGGTCTGGCCGCCTACTTCATTCTAAATAACCCAGTGAATATCATTTTGTCATTACTGTCATCAGATCTGTGAGTGTACACTCTTTGAGAGTCAGTGCTTATGACATAACTTTATAAATAGTGTTGGTTTTGAATTTTGCGTACAATATGGTGAACATGACTCCATTCAGTAATTTGAATCTTGGCAGTGCATTGATGCAAAAGGAAGACTTCATATTTGTTGCTTAGTTAGAATTATTGTTCTAATACGTGAGTACCTCTTCATATTATTATTGCTTACGTTATGTTGTGTAATACTGAATTGGAACCGACTCGTAGCTGAACCTCCAGCAGGTTTTCAGAGGCAGTAAATCACACGGGAGGCGCTTGATTGCTCGTTTTTCTCCCTTGGAGCAGCTGTGCACCTTTGACGATACTTTGGCATCACAACTCCACTAAAGCCACCAGAGCTCCCTATTCACTTCTCTAGGTCTATCATTTGAGTGACAGCTAAGCCAAGTTCAAAGAATGACCTTGGGTCGTAGTCCTGGGACTGCTCCACCACTCGCCGTCAAATTAGAAAGCTTGGTTATAAAAACACTTTGTTTTAATGAAATTGATCCTCTTGTATATCTTTGTGAGCTACTTTTTCTTGCTTTTTACTCATTTTCTTTTTTCTTAGCATTGCCAATTTTGACTTGACTTTGTGATTTAAGGATAATATTTTTAACATAAATTCTCATTGAGAGTCTATTAGAAAGAATTTAAGAAAACGTGCAGAATCTGTTGTGATTCTACCTGCTTTGAAAATCTTCTTAGATTGTTTTTGAGGGATTGGGGGATAAAAGTAGAGAGAAACACTAAGATATTGATTGGCATTAGTTTGTTTTCTCTAGTGATACAGTTTTCCATTACATTCTCACAGACTATATATTATTCTTTGTCCATTTGAGTTGAACCTTATTTTCATAGCTGGTAAAATTAATTTACATTTTATGAAGGGACTTAACTTACAACACAAGACAAGGCTCCTTGTTCATTTAACCATGTTCCTTTAACCATGTCCATATGCGCATGCACTTGCACATGTCTCCTGAGTGCTAAACATGAATACATTCAGTGGCCACAAGGAATTTATAGTCTAGTTGTTCTGGGTCATCTAACTGCGTTCCTTCCTTCTTCCAGGGAGTTCCTGAGAAGAAGATATATCCGGTTACCGTCCCCAAGTCCCCAGCCTTTGCACTGAAGAACCGGGTTCGCATGTTCAACAGAGAAGAAGAGGTGAGCCCTGGGGAACAGCCTCTCTTTCTCCTTCTGCATTATCAATCTCAGCATTACCCTTTTTAATATTTAATGGAATGCAAAAGCAGCCACTCTGTCTAGAGTTGTCTGTAAGAATAAATACGAATAAGTACTTTTTTGCTTGTCAAGGAGAAAATTAATTGGCATGGATGTGAATCTTCTGACTCTGTCTCTGACTGCGGTATATAGAGATAGCAGGAGGGCTTTGACATTGGAATTGTCCGTGTCTACAGCATTGAATTCAGCCTATCTTTATAACATGGGTAAAATGCTGCTCTGCTGAATCAAAGCACAGTCCTTTGAGATGGAATTGCTGACTTGATGACCGTTCTCCTGGGAATATTTGAGCATAGTTTTCCTATAAACAAGAATATTCTTCTATGTTATTACAATATAACTATCAAGATTAGAAATTTAACTTTGATGCATTACTACTATTTATTCGATCTTCTCTTAGAAACTTAGAAGAGAATTCCCTTAATCTACTAATATGGTATTCCTCAAAAGTTACCTACAGATTGGTGCTTATCCTTAAACTGTTAACTGGTTAACAGCAATGATGAGTATAAAAATGAAGAGTATTATAAACATAACTTGTCTCACAGTAGTTTTGTTTCTTTTGACTCTAGAAATTGAAAGTTGTACTATTTTTCACTTAAATTTTCTAGTAATTTATTGCTTTTATCAAAATACTGGTTTGGGACAAGAGGTAAAGGGATAGGTACAGTGCAGTGGGGATTTGAGTTGAAGTAATAAACGGCCTTGATCAGTAGTAAGTAAGTATATAAACACAGTATATGTGAATATTTATATAAAACAATACTCATGAATAAAACACAGTAAATGTATGTGAATGATTGTCGGAATACTAATTTTTTTTTAAAAAAAATTGATATGCTGTGGGTTGGAATTATTTGGAAAACAAAACCGCTAGTCTTTCACCAGATTGCTTTAAGAAGTGCATGTTGTTGTTGTTATGTGCTGTCGAGTCGCTTGCGACTCATAGCGACCCTGTGTACAACAGCCCTAAACTCTGCTCTGTCCTGTGCCAATCGCACTGTCTCCGACACACGCATCCCAGTTAATCCAGTCACTGAATCAATCCACCTCCTAAAGGGCCTTCCCCTCCTGCTCTGTCCCTCCACCCTACCAAGCATGATGTCCCTCTCCAAGGACCGGTCCCTCCTTAAAACATGTCCAAAGTATGTTAGATGGAGCCTCAGAATCCTTGCCTCCAGGGAGCCACCCTGTTTATGCCTTCCAGGAAGAAGTGCATACTAAGGAATAATAATTAAAAAAAAAAATACAAAAGCTATTGAAAGCTTTGTAAATGGTAAAATGTTGAAAGGGTTTTCCATGAGAAGACGACAAAAAATATTGTTACTGTATTGTTTAATTCTGTCCTGGAAGTTCTAATTAGTGCAGAAGGGTGAAGAAAAAGGCAAGCATAATGATTAGAAAGAAAAACAACAGCAAAATGTTATTTACAGAGTACAGAGTTATTTTCCAGAGTCCCAGCTCCATGCCTCCCTCGCTTCCTGCTTTGTACCCCTCCCTTTCCTATCTCCATTAAACCCCAGGTTGCAGAAGGGACTGTGTAGGTATGCTTCATGGAATCTTAATACGTATTTGTCATTGATCAGCAAGTTTCTTATTACGCTGCCCATTTAGATTTAAATACCCAGAGTTAGGGTAATTTTATAGCAGATCTTAAGCAAAAGCCTTTTTATAGTTTGATCTGAAACTAAAATACACGGTAATCTTATGTTACCAGCTTGAACTCAAAGCATTCACTTAGTCCTATTCTGGGTTTGGCGCTCATTCCCTCCCTGTCACATGCTTTAGTGGCGACTGGAGGCCAGATCAAACAAGAGGCAAAGGTAGATGTTGGTTTTGGTACTTTTCTCGTGTTTTCCTTGCACAGTGTTTGAGCTCATTTGCTTTTACAGGCTTCCTATCAAAAATGTTAGATCCTTTAAGAGTCATTGGGTCGTAGTTTTTGTGTTGGCTTCATTGTTCCAGCCCCTGTGAGATAGTAGGTGAGTCCCGTATAACCTGTGACAGAAAGGGAGGCTTTTCTTAGACCCCTAACGAGATAGGGAACTTTCTTTAATTAGCCACCTGCCTCTTTGACTCCACGTTCTGAGGTGGCAGGAAGTCACAAGGAGGCTTGTTTCTGAACGACAGTTTTTCTTTCAGGAAGAAGAGGAGCAAGTAGTGATAAAAGCTCAACCTATGCCACATTATGGGGTTCCATTTAAACCCCAGATCCCAGAGGCGAGAGCTATCGAAGTGTGCCCTTTCTCTTTCGATTCTCGGGACAAAGAACGTCAGCTCCAAAAGGAGAAGAAAATCAAAGAACTGCAGAAGGGAGAGGTTGGTGATTGCATTTCTGTGGGTAGCATATACTGCTCTTGGAGCCTTTAAAGATAACCAGTGTGACACTCTGTAGTTATAAATCACTAGCTGCTTTTCCACTAAGAACCCTCTGAAGTAGAAATAATGCCAGTCAGTAGCTGATGTGACACAAGGACACTGAGTAACTTGCCTAAAATCATTCTGCCATTGGTTGGTATATTTGGGAAGAAAACCAAGAATTTCTCTATTCCTCTTGGTTTCTTGGCTTTTTCTTGCTGCTATGAAAACTGACTGGCTTTTTCTATCCACCGCCACACACACACACACACACACACACACGAGCCATGCTGTTTTCTGACTATAGAAGCCTTACTTTTTATCTTACCTTTTCTTTTTACTCAGGTGCCCAAGTTCAAGGCCCTTCCTCTGCCCCATTTCGACACCATCAACCTGCCAGAGAAGAAGGTGAAAACGGCAACGCAGGTTGAGCCTTTCTCCTTAGAGACTGACAGAAGAGGAGCTGTGAAGATGCAGACCTGGAAACACCAGGTGAGGCTGTGGGGAGTTGCCAGCATGCTCATGCACGGCTCATTGAAGCAGGCAGACGGCTGTGTCGGAAATGTATCCAGGACCTAATAGGATCAAGTCACAGACTCTCCTTCTGAATCAGAGCTCTGCACACTTTCTCTGTAAAGGGCCAACTGCCTAATAAAGATCTTGATTTTATAGGTTACTTGTATGACCTCCATCGTATTGGGGAGTGTGCATGTTTGTTTTCAGCCCTTCGAAAATGTAAAGAATTATTCTTACCCCAGGGGTCTTAAAAAAACAGAGGGAACCACAAACCAGATGCAGATGCAGTAGTTATATTTAGAGGCTTAGATTTTTCTGGAGCTAGGGGAGAGAATACTTTATAGATAATTTAGTGTAATTACTAATGAATCACGTTACAGGACATTAACTCCTGGTGGTTTTGGAATTTAAGAGGGGTCTTGAATGTACATGAATTCTTTTTATTCTTTGTTGTCACTGGGTCAGATGTGTCAGTCTGGCCATGAAGTGTGGATGGCAGGTTTTAACTGGGCTTTCTCTGAAAGTGTCTGTCATTATTAATGAAGTAGTTGAGAAGCATTAGGACTTGCTCACAGAGGTGGGTGGTAGTCATGGAAAGCTGAGTGGGTGCCTAAACTGAGACTTCCTTCTCTTACAGCTGGAGGAAGAACTGAAACAGCAGAAGGAAGCCGCTTGCTTCAAGGCTCGTCCAAACACTGTCATCTCACATGAGCCCTTTGTTCCCAAGAAAGAAAAGAAGACAGTTGCCGGTAGTGTTATTTGTGGTGTCATCTGTAAACGTGGAGTGTTGGGAAGGGTTGTCTCCTTTCTCAGGGGAACGCCTGTGACACAGTTGTGCTATTAGCCACAAGCATTTGACTTCAGGGACCTTTTCTTCCCATGTTGAGTTGTAAAATGTCCTAGAGCCAAAAATCACATAACAAGAGCCTTGGGAGAGGTCACTGGTGTCCAGCAACAGTTGTGGGTTTCCCTGCTCTGGACTAGCAAGTGAATGAGAGAAGAGCCAGGGGTACCTTTGGAGTTAGCACTGAAATAATAAACCATAGTACTTACCAAATAGTTTGTTCTTAAGCACTGAGTGGAGTGTCAGAAAATTAGAATTCCCAGAATTGCTTGAGAATAGTTTCTCTTTTGAACAAATGACTTGTGTGGGCCTTGCCTTTCCCCCCTGGTTATACTAGATGATTTTCAAGACTTTTTCCAACTCCTTGTATGTGGTTTGCATACCCCACCCACCCCCACCCCACCCCCCGCCCCGTTGTTTTCTCCAAGGGGCTTTTCTTGGGAGCTCAGTCTCTCTGTTGCGGGCATGTCTGCAGCACTTGCTTGATCTCTGGGGGCAAAGTCTATGTACCTTGTGCTTGTGCACCAATATTCTTTTTATTCTGTACTCAGAAGCCCTTGCTGGTTCTCTAGCTCAGGAACCTTTTCAACTGGCCACGGAGAAGCGAGCCCAGGAGCGGCAGGAGCTGGAAAAGAAAATGGCTGAGGTCGAAGCCCAGAAAGCCCAGTACTTGGAGGAGATGCGGCAGCAGGAGGAAGAGCAAAGGAAGGAGGAGCTGGCACAGTTTCGGAAAGAGCTGGTAACTGCAGTGCATGCGGGCGGACTGCACCACACTGCCTCACCTTTTGTCTTACTGGTACCAGAAAGGAGCTGAGGTGAACTACAAAGATACATCAGGGGCAGCAAGAAAAAGGAGAAGCACATAGAGCAACAGATGAGCTGTGAACACTACAGATGCAGATAACTGTGATCTGTATGTCATCTAAGTAGGGGCTGTAGTTTTAGCCTTTTTGCAAGTTAATGATTACCAAACTCACAATGTTGATGAGATGTGAAAGAGCCCAGTTGTTCACACAATGGGTTTATCCTTGACACTGAATTAAGGCAGAGTTTTTCATAAGACTGATATCATATGGCGACCTCTGGTGGCCTATTGGCAAGAAGTTGCACTGCAATCCCAGAGCTGTGCAGTTTGAATCCACCAGATGCTCTGCTGAAGGAGGGACAATCGCCTCCTGTACCAGTCAGATCTGACGGAACACATGCAAAAGAATAATAAAAAAATTAAAAAAAAAAAATTTTAAAAAGACTGATAACATATGGTAATCTTCCTTTCTCTTATTATTTTTTTTCTAGGCTTTAGAAGGATTCTTTTTTTTTTTAAACAGAACAAAAAATTCCATTTAAATTATCATTTACATACATCATTTACCCAGTTAAAATGTACAATTATTGGGGTTTTGGTATGTTCATAGATAAGTACATCTATCACCGCAGTCCGTCACAACTTGGGAACATTTTTATCACTCAAAAGCAACCACCTCCCCTTAGGCTGTTACCTTCCATCTATTTTCTGTTTCCATCTAAGTGTTAAAATTAGAAAAGAAGACAGGAGAGACTGGATTTTTGGTTTTGTGGGTGTTTTCATTCTCGGTCCAAATGCCTTGGTGTTCTAATATATGAGGAACCCTGGTGGTGGAACAATTCAGTACTTGGCTGCTAACCTGGGTGTCAGAGGTTTGAACCCAACAGCTGTTTCCCTGGAGATGTGGCTGGCCTCCATGAAAATTACAGCCTCAGGAAAAACATGTACAAGAAAAAAGAAAAACATGTATTCGAATTTTATAAATAAACTAGTATAATTAAAAAAAAGAAAATCAACATCCTGACTTAAATGAATTAAGGACGGTATACATTCTGGTATTTAATTTTGATTAAACTCCTTTACATACAAAAGAAAAAAAATTATAGCCTCAGAAACGCTTTGGGGCCATTCCCTTTGGTCCTTTAGAGTTTTTGTGAATCAGAATCAACTCTGGCAACCGGTGTAGTGTTTATGGTCTACCTAATACTAGCATATTGATTTAGACATTATTAGAAAAGAAATCATAATTCACCTTAGGGACCTTTTAGTTAGGAATTATCAGTGAGGAAAAAGATGCTTTTAGGTGAGGATGGTACAGAATTACTGTTGTGCTTCTTTCCAAAGGCGCCAGTAAACAGCTCTTGGCAGGAGTGACTTAGCCCATAGGAATTAATTAACTCTTCAGGGGGTTGACTTCTTGTCAAAATCCAGGCTACTGTTTGCTGATTGACAGTGCAAATCCCTCACCACTGATAAAAGACCAGGATTTTCTCTGGCCTTGAATTCTTTTCATTTTTTATTCCATACTGGGTACGTCCCTCATGTGTTTGGCCCCAGCATAGAATTTCAGGCATTCTCAATGCAGGTTCAGAGTGACATCTCACAATGCACCTTAGTGACTGTCAGTATCTCTCTCTAGGGTATCACGGGATTCAGGCTGAGTGTAGAACTATCTGCAGGGACGCAAGAGATCACCTCCTGGCAGCTCTACCTGATTATTGGTTTTGCTTTTGGTGAATATTAGAGAGATTCAGAGCCAATTGTCTGCTACAATTGAGTTATTGTTGTTAGGTGCTGTCAAGTTAACTACAGCTAATGAACTATAATCAGGGATTCTGAGCTCTGCCCTCTCCTGAGCCAACCTCACTGTCTCTTTCATACCTAGTCCATTGCACACTCGCATTGTCGATCCGTTTCATCCAGGGTTTTCTTCTCCTGTGCTGACCCTCTACCCTTCCAGGCCTTCTCCAAGGAGTGCTCCCTCCTGGCAGCATGCCCAAAGTAGAGCTCCATTAATGCCCTAGTGCTTAGCAGTCAGATTGGAGATAGAGGCTTGGCATTCCTTAGTGAAATCTGCGGGACCCACAAGACAAAGGCTTGAAACCTATTTGAGGGCCAAATTTGAGAGTGTGTGTTCTATTATAGTGTTGCTTTTTTCCTTTTTAAAATCAGTGGCTAGGACTTAGAAAAGTACTTCATCTCTATCTCTGTCCTTTTTTTTCTATCCTTTTATAAAGAAAATGTTAAAAACTGGATGTGCAGCTCTTTAAGATCCTCACTAGTAACTTTTCCCTTCCTCTGCAGGTACACAAAGCAAACCCAATACGTAAGTACCAGCCTGTGGAGGTCAAGTCAAGCGACCAGCCCCTGACTGTGCCTGTGTCTCCCAAGTTCTCCACACGATTCCACTGCTGAACTTGACTGTAAGCTGCACACACCGCTGGGACCAGGAGCTCCTCTGACTGCCATTCCACGAGCCTTCATTCTTTGTCGCTGGGGCTTGGGAACGAGCTTAGATCTCCAGACTTTTCTGACCTGCTCGTGTCTGACAGTGCACAGCTGTCTAGATCAGACTGTGTTAGCATTTTTTGAGCCACCAGCTGACTGCTAATAGGTATCTTACCACTCTGACTAGAATTTAAAGTCATAGTGTAATTAATCTCTCCACTGTCCCTCCCTTCTTTTTTTATCTATTATATTGTGAAAATAAAGGTAGCTAAGTACTGAGATTGGGTTTAAGTGAATTGAGCATTCAGGAGCCTTTTGCTAGAAAGAAGGAACCCTGAGGATAGAGAGTTTACACGCTGAACTGGTAGCCAAGAGGTCAACGATTGGAATCCACCAGCCACCCCTTGGGGGAAGATGGGTGATCTCCTTCTTTTCTGACTCACAGCCTCAGAAACCCAAAGGAGAGTCAATAGCAGGGGTTTAGGTCTGGATTGGGGTCTCCAGGGCAGGGAGGGCAGCTTTGAATTCAAAGGGATTCAAGACTGATCATGAAAAAAGAAGTCACCAGATAGATGACTTTGCACATAAGATAGTTATTGGGTTCCACACATTGGCAGCTGCTTGTAGGGGTCAGTGCTCCATAACAAGAGGTCTTCTAGAAGCAAGTATACAGAAGAGGATGAAGTGGGAGCACAGAGAGCTCTGAAACAGCCTAAGGTCCTTGAGGATCTTATCTTACCTAGGACTTGCAGATATTAGACACATTTGTTGTATGGTATGTTAGAAGGGTAAGTAGCCTCAAAAAAAAAATCTGCTTATTTGGGTTATTTTGAAAATACTTGGATCAGTACAAGTTTAAATTTGGCACCATCAGGCTTTTTTGAGCTAATAGGCCTAACTTGGCTTGCTATGAAGAAATAAAACTACCTGGGGCCAATATACAGAGACTACCTTGGCTCATTTGTGTGACAGGTAGAAAGCTCCTGTGTCACTGATGAAGAAGACTTTCTGGACTGGTGGGTGACCTCACAGCAGCCACAGGGCAAGTCCCGGGCAGAGCAGCTGTTGGGGTGTGTCCTGTCCCTTTTCTCTGTGGATGATCAGCAGGGAACAGGGCAACATGTGTTTTCAGTCTTCTAGTGACCTGGAATAAATATATTTTCTCGCTGATTTTGTTTGGTTTTGATGTTTTCTAAGTTTCTCAAACCCCTTTGGAGGTCCCATGTAATGAGGAAAATGGTTCTTTTGGGTTTAAGAATTTTTAAAACCACCGTCTTAAAAGTTTTGGTGACTTTTTTTGCCCCCTATCTTGTCAGAAGAAGTCAGGTAGATTGCATGCAGGTGGAGGGCCGCTTTCTGTGAAAGGAGAGACGTGGACTTGCAGAGACTATGGAGTGATGGTTTTGGAATGGAAGTCAGTGGAGATGAGAGATGGTTACTGAGGGAGTGGGTGAGCAAACTACCTCCAAGAGAGAAGTATAGACGGGCCACTGGGCAGTGTCTGCCAGGCACTTTGGGGCTAGTAAATCTGACAAGGTGTGTGATTGGGACCATAAATGGTAGGGGTGTTCAAGTACAGTCACAGAAAAAACAGCCAAGTTTATGTCACAGTGGGATTTTTCCAAGTGGAGAAAAACCCAAGTGAGAGGAGGAGGAGTATTTTTTGTACTTTTCTTCTCCTCGTTGGGTTATTAGCTGTGATTTGTTTTGTTATTTTTATTACTTGCTTTAAAGGGTATAGTACATCTGTTCCTCATTTAACGACTGTCTCATTATCTGAGATTTTGCCTTTATGGCAATAGTAAAAATATCTACTTGAGTCTTTTGTGCATTTAGAGTTTGTCTAATAGTAACGAACACTGAGATGTGGGGTGAGAGTAACTTTGGCTAAGAGGGTTAGTGTCCACTTGGCCAAGCCACGATCGTGATCTTCAGTGGTTAGGCTATTTGGCATTTACGTAATAATGTGGTCTGGCAGTTACATAATGATGATGATGTTATCCTCCAACGTTTCATTTTCACATAATGCTCATTTCCATATAACAAGCGAGTCTTTGGAACTAACCCTGTTGATGAGCGACCAGTGGAAGTACACATTTTAAACTTACCATAGTCCTCAACATTTGATCTTCTTCTCAGAGTCAGCCACAGTTTGTTATGATC